TTATGAGGCAAATCCCGTCGGCGAGCCCGTTCCTTCAAGACTACCCGCAAATCCTCTGAACGAGCGGAATAAGAATACCTCGACGTCGTCGCCGGACGTGAGGGTTGATAGATGCTGTCTTGCGCGCTGGACTTCTCTACGTGCGCGTCGGAATCTCCAACCTTGTAACTTCTGGTGATTGAGATGGACGGAGTACGCCGCTGGCTCTGACTGCCTAAACGGCGGGGTTGGGTGCGCTCACTGTGGTCTCTCACTCCAGCTACATCTTTCCCTTTGACATGCCGCTTAAGATCCTCCATCTCTGCTGCCATTCGCCGGATGACAGCGTCTTGGTCCCTTAGCTTGTGTTCCAGTCGTCTGGCGTGCGATTCTCTCCACCGCCGGTGACCATTTGGACTCCGTGAATGACCAAAACTTCTTCCGCGCTTATCCCGCGCGTCTTTTGAGTGTCCTCTTGGAGAAGTCTCCAGGTCCGCCATAGGAAGGATGGCGGGATGTCCTTCTCTCCGTCTGCCTGACTCCGGGGTAACTCCGTCGATGGCAGACAACGGAATCTCGTCGTTATTCGCCATGGGCGGTGATCAGATGAGCCTGGAAGACAAGGTTTTGTCTTTCAAGTTCCCACAGACGGCGCCAATTGTACGGGGAGCAAATATTCTAGCAAGCCCGCACTCATTTCTTCCAAGCTCCTGCCTGTCCAATCGACTTGCGAGCACAACGGCGGCGAGCTACCCGGCGGTGTGTCGCCGAAATACCCCTGCGACGATCAAGTTAGACACACACAGGGATGGAGAGAGAGAGAGGATTGAGTGTTTAGTGTAAATCTCACCAAATGTTCATCTGTTTCAGCATGGGGGGCGCATATACGTCCCAAATCTACTCCCATTAGTCTCTCGACACGTGGTGCTGCTATCCCATCTGTCAGTACAAATCTAGCTGAACATCACCTAACCAAACTGCCAGCCCATACTACTGGGAGCTCGGCAGCCGGGCTGCAGCATCTCGGCTGCCAAAGGCCGTGCTGTGTTGCTAGCCAGAGCGCTCCACTCGTCAAGCTCAATGGCGATCGAGCTCGGTTGCTTTCCGGAATAGCCGAGCTTGGGACAGCTCATGCTGGTTAGCCGTCGGCCTTCTTGCCGGCCTAACCCACGAGCCGTGGAACCCAGTGAGGCAGCGGACATCTCAGCCGAACTATCACTCGACCGGTTTCTGCACCCTGAAGCCAAGTAGCTCGGTCCAATCATGCCTTGCCTTAACCGAGCAGAACCTTTCTGGACAGGCCCATGCTACCACGGCCCAACTGTGTTCGACCCAAATCTGCCCGGCCATTATCGCGACCCAATCCAGATCATAAATCTCCCTCTCAATATAAATGTGAGTAGATGAAAGGGTTAACGATATCTGATTAACATGATTTTTTTGTAGGTATATTTTACTTGATGTATTCTAAAATGTGAACAGTTCGAATCATCAAATTGGACTCCAAAATAAATCCATTAAGCCGCACAGCAATGCCTACAGTGTTGGGTGCACAGCCGACATCAGACTTTATTTGATTTGATTTGATTTGCTAACTACTTATCAGTTTGTGATTATATAATGATATATAGTTGAGTATCTAATTACATTGTAAATAGTAGAGCTCAGTCACAAACTATGTCATTCCAAATAATTTTAAACAAAAATGATATCTAACAAGTTAAAAATAAATAAATAAACTAGTAATCACGGTATTTGATTTCAATTTTTCTGAAAAATGAGTTTTTTATTTTTCATATTTTTTTATTTTTAGTGAATATTTTTAAAGTTTTAAGAAATTTTTTATATTTTTGTAGATACACCTTACTTAAATGTATTTAAAAAAGAAAAAAATTAATAAAAATATATTTTAAAAAATCAATAAATACACAATAATATGAAAAATGTATTGATTTTTTCTGTTATTTTTATATTTTTGGTATTTAGTAAATTTTTTAAATATTTTTTTCACAAATAGTATACTTTTTAAGTGTATTTATGTTAAGTATATCTAAAAATTAAAAAAATTACTTAAAACATTAAAAAATTCAGTGAAAGCAAAAACAAAAACAAAAAAAATACAGAAAACAAAAAGTTCTAATTTTTTGAAAAGTGAATTCAGAAAACTCAAACCAAACATGCTAATTTACCTCACTGCACTAGTGTTTGGGATTTTTTTTTTTAAATATATATATAAATCAAGAGTATTAAATCATGTGAACATAACCAAAACTAAAACTCTATAATTTACAAATAAAGACAAAGGTGGCGATTCTCAAATCACTTTCCACCTTATATCAAGGTGTATTACTCCTTTTTTCGAATTGATAAGATGATACTTGTCGTTCATATGTCCATTGTTGACTACATCAATAAGATTGATATCAACATGCCCCATGGATTCCTGCATTAAATTAAACAGAATGTTTAACAAATTTATTTTCTAAAAATTAAAAGTTAAGTAAAAAAGAGGAGAAGCTTGATTTAAAACAATGATTCTACCTTTGATCGAAATATAATGTCTCTCCACCTCTTGTTCATGACTTCAATATGGATTGTTTCCTTTAAAGGAGGCTCTTCAAGCATAAATTGAAATTCTTCATTCCAACTTGGATCCCTAGTTTTCTTGATCACCTAGACAAAACAAATTAAGTACTTTCAAAGCATATCTACAAGATTAAATTGTGAGAAATGTAACAAATTTTTAGCATAAGGGTAGTTTTGTACGTTCCAGTTAGGATTTCGTATGTTATTTAGTTTTATACGTTCTACCCTTATGTTAAAAATATATTACAACTTTTACGTAAACAAACGAAGTGGGGCTGGTAAATTCACCTTTGTTTTCTTTTGTTCTCCTTTAAAGTAGACCAAAGAATAGGGGTTGTTGTGATGCTTTCCCTCCACATCCTTGGCACCAATGACCGTGACTAGAAGTAAACCGGCGCTTGAGAATGACATGTCTTGAGATGCTTTTCCTACACATTCAATCCACTCGTGTCTCTCCAGAGGTCTACTAAATCTTTCGTTGTCTTGTTTGAAAGGGTTAAAAGTCATCTCTACCGTAATTTTCCCTCTTGGTTTCTTGTTATGAGGATCATCAGGCTTCATGCTGTGAAGCAAATCAAGCGTGAATTCCTTCTTCTCATGTGGCATGAGTAATTTCAGTGGGATCACTTGCATTCCTAGTTTGTCGTGTGGCCCAAACTGTGAAACCAAAAAATAAAATGTGCATAATTAAGATGGTAACGATTCTATACTCTTCTTATTCAAGTAATCCAAATAGAGGACAACTGAACCATGTGATTTCTTTTCCTTTTTGTTCTACTTTTCAATATCCAAACATAGCCTAAAAGTATAGTTAAGGCGATACATTATGAGATGTTGACTAGATTCTATACCTTTTCCCAATCATAGAGATGCAACTGAAGAACTTGAGACTGAAGGTCCTTCACCAAAAGTTTAAAGTCCTCATTCCAATCAGGGTTCAGATTGTTCATCTTGATAGAACTCTTTTTTGCCGGAAGCCTCTCCCCACTTAGGCTGAGTTGAACATATGGATCAGACATTCCGATAAAGTCTTTCTTCAAGAGATTGCGTGCACACAGAACTTTCACGTGCAGTATGCCCAATGGCTTATTCACAGCTCCTCTATCAATGAAGAAAAAGGTACATAATTCAAAGATCATTTCACTATATATAATACAAGGAAGAAGGGAATACAAGAAAGTACTGAATTTTGCTATTAATTAATATTAATTCATCAACTTGGTATAAAAGCTATCATCACTGTACAAGATTTTCTTGACATTTCTTACTCAAACAAGTAACTAATTAAGGAGAAGAAACTAGGAGACTTACACGGAACTGTCGAGGATAGGAATTTCAAGAGTATGAGGCCAGAGATAAAGGCTAGCAATCTGTTTTCTTATAATTTCCTGCTATCAATCAAAAGTTATATTAGTTTACAAAATATATATGTAAATATATATAAAGTTCAAGTAATATAATGGCTGCTACTTTGTGGATTGCTTTTCATTTTCTCAATTTTGCGAAATTTTGTATGTTTTTCCTCTATTAAAGCTCATATCAGCATTTGCAATCAGTTATTCACTAATTTCAACCCATTCAAGCAATGCCTTATGTAATCGACATAATTTCAATCAGAGAAGGAATTTTTTGGAGCATTGTTTGAAGATTATTTTCCAGAAAATGCTTTGATAAAGTAGTAATAGTTGGAATTTCAGCTGACAAGAAATCAGTATAGATGGATGGATGAGATGACTGATGACTTTAGGGCTGAAGTTACAAATAATTTGTAGAAAAAAACATAGAAAACAAAAAGTTCTAATTTTTTGAAAAGTGAATTCAGAAAACTCAAACCAAACAAGCTAATTTACCTCACTGCACTAGTGTTTGGGATTTTTTTTTTTAAATATATATATAAATCAAGAGTAGGGTAAAGGAAGACCAGAAATTATGAACTTTAAGATTGTCAAACTCACTTTTGCCCACGAATCTACTAGTGACTTGTCGAAATTTTAAAATTTACTAGCCTAGTGTTACAGACTATACTACTATTTTATGTGTGCATTATGAGCTATCGAGTCTCCACACTGTTAAACACCAAAAGGTGATACATTTGTAGAAACTAGTAATTCATTCTTAATGTGTGGCTGGTACATTCATGTTCCATCATTGAAATGGTAGCCTCAACAGATTGTGCTCCCTTTGACATAAATATGAAGAAATTAGATGTCTAGAGTGAAGAAAAATTACATACTAATAATGCAATTTTGTGTGAGTTTGTCCAAGTTAATGATCAAATTGAACTTAAAATGTGGATAAGTATTAGATAGCCAAGGAAAAAACTAAAGTCAACAATGTGAGCGAGTGAGAGAGAGAGTACCACCTGAACAAATTGATAGAAACCTGGGATTGCCATGACATCCGCTCCCAGTACTTTCAACCCAAAATCTACATATGGCTATAAAGTATTTGTTGTTAGCGTACACTCAAACTTTGACGTTTCAGTGGAAAAATGATAAAGAGTTGGATTTACTAGCAAGTAGTTCAAAATTCATACACATCACAAAATTTTGCTTTGCCATTTACCTTTTCCATTAAAGACACTATGATGCTGGCAAAACACGGGAAGGTCGGCACAAAAGGTTTCAAAATTATCCTTGGTTCTGCACATATTTGTACATCTGTCAACTGACAAGAAGAAAAATCAACATTTCATTTTGTTGATGTCACACATGTAAATATTTATAACACCAATGAAAACCACAATGAAGTCATAATCAAAATGATTAAACCTCAGTTTAACTGAATCTATTCAAATTCTAGTGAAAAGAAAATAACATAAGGGATTCTCAGGAAATAACAAGATCGACTTCAGACTCATTCAAAATGCGATGAAAACCAATCAAAGAACTTCATTTTTTTCCCATTATTGTAATCGTTATTATAATAGAGATTTTCATTTTTTTTTTTTTTATTTTTTTTCTTTTTTGTGTGTCTGTAAATTCCAGAGTAATGGTTTGAAAGATCTGCTAACCTGTATTGTGATTCGTAGGAACAACAATCTCAGCACCATCGTAATGTTGGAATTTCCGGCCCATTTAACAGCAGGCTCAAAAACTAGCTCGTTTTCATTAACTTCGTATACTTTAATACCTGCCAGATTGAGAAATTTGTATGGAGCCATACTTAATTCCAGAAAACAAGCTCAACAATCATTCGTATACTTCAAAAACTAGCTCCTCATAAATGGTGTCACAAAAGAATGATTGTTGCTTAGTTGTTGCTCTGCACTACTTCTGTGTTGGAGCCATACTTACCGTGAATTATTGGAGGAAGAGTTCCAAGACTAAGGGTCTCAAAGTCTATGGAGTTTATCTGAAACTTTCCAACATATTCAGCAAATATAGGCTTAGCCATAATTCGGATTTGAGCACATATTGCCTGTAGAAGAAACCAACTCAGGTGAGAGAAAGTTCAGCATGTTGATGTAAGTTAAATTCCACAGCTTAATTCCAGAAAACAATCGATTTTAGGGATACATTTGGGAATTCAGATCACCTTTTCAAGGCAAGGCCACAAATCATATATAAACCTATTCAACCAATCGACCTGCATATTTAGACAATCAGATTCAATAGAATAGAATTGTAACTAGAGCTACAAATGAACAAAACCGTTCTTAACAAGCTCGAGTTCTATTCTGTAAGAGCTCGTTCAAACTTGATTCGTTAAATTTTATTGGGTTCAAGCTCGAGCTTAAGTTGGAGCTTGTTAAAATTTTAATAAACAAACCAAACATATTAAAACTCAGCTCATTTACAGTTGGTTTGACATTTGTTTAAATAATAGAATCCTGTAGAAGAAACCAACTCAGGTGAGAGAAAGTTCAGCATGTTGATGTAAGTTAAATTCCACAGCTTAATTCCAGAAAACAATCGATTTTAGGGATACATTTGGGAATTCAGATCACCTTTTCAAGGCAAGGCCACAAATCATATATAAACCTATTCAACCAATCGACCTGCATATTTAGACAATCAGATTCAATAAAATAGAATTGTAACTAGAGCTGCAAATGAACAAAACCGTTCTTAACAAGCTCGAGTTCTATTCTGTAAGAGCTCGTTCAAACTCGATTCGTTAAATTTTATTTTATTTATACGTAAATAATAGCTAACTACAGATAATACATTTATATAATATTGTTGGTAGATATTATTATTTTGATAAGATATTTTTTTTATTTTATGTTTGTATATATTGTATATATAATTGTATAATCAAAATCTTAATTGTAACTTTAGTCTTATACACAAGTATGAATTTATAATTTATTTGGCTTGTTAAGATTCGTGAACAGACTCGAGCTTGAGTCAATTTGGCTGGTCCTCGGTTCATTAAATTTTCATTGAGTTTAGTTCGAATCCGAGTTCAAACGGCGTTAAAAGTTTAATAAACAAACTCAAATATACGAAAGTTTGACTTGTTTGCAACCTTAAATGTAAAGTAAAGAACAAGATTGTGAATTGTATTTATAAATGTGTAATCGAGCTTAGTACTTCAAAAGCCTGACAAGAGAAAAGGCGAGTACTCACTCGATCATAGTCTGGATTCTTCACCCAAAAAGGAACCTCCGGGTAAAGATCAAGCAAGGAGCTAGAATCAAACTCTTCGATTGGCCTAACAACTGGATCCTGCAAGTATAGGTTCACCAAAATGCTGAGAAAATTCGCTTTCTTAGTAAAAGGGTTCCTCTGCGTGCTTCTGGATTCAAGAACAGTTTTTTGACTAAATGGGATATATAACCAAATGAAGAGTAAAAATTGTGAAAAAAATGCAAAAGCTTCCCTCTCTCTCTCTCGTTTTGGTGACATGGGTGTCCGGTTAATTAAAAGCTTATCTATGTTTATCTTATATGCACATAGTTTCCAAATTTCAAAGTACAACGCTAATCACCATCTACATAAACATGATCTTGCATACCAGAATGAAGATCAAAAGTATATGTAACTGGCATCCAGATGTTACATAAAATTGAAAGAGGTAGAATAAATTTCAAGGAAGAATAACAAATTCACTTCAAAAGACTACTCAAAAACTCAAGTAGAACAAGCTACAAAATTGCTAAAACCAGGTCAAACCAACACCAGGTTCTAAAGGATTGCAATAAAATAAATAAAATAAAAAGAATCGAAGGTATAGCCAATTTAGAGGAATATTCACTTTAACTACCACAATCAAAAGCAAGCTATAAAGTGAATATACAATCACATCACCACTTTTGCTGATATCCACTGAAATGTTGCATGTAAAGTGGGTGAAGCAATTTATCAAACACATAAGGTAGATCATGATTGGTGTACGGTTAATTAGATTCTCCGCTTAGTGTTTTTGTCACAAACATCAGTGATAGATCATTCAAATTTCACTAAGATAGTTGTAGAAGTATAAAGCAAATCCAACAACTTGATTTAGAAAATACCCATAAAACTCGAGAACTAGAACAAAATCTCATCAAACTTCTTGAAAATAATTGCTTAGATAAAAAAGAAATCAAGATTTAATTAAACTGAACTATACAAATACATAAAATTAAGCCATATAAGATCATATATGTAATGCATTCATGGAACACATCATCATATGACAATGATTGAGAAGTGATTGATTAAAAAATATGAGATGTATTAAATATGTCATTACCTTTACTTCTTTGGGCTCCAAATACATTAATATGAGAAAACCCACAAAAAATCCTATGGGAATTCCAATTCCAAATCCAATAATTTCCAATAAACTACTCAGAAAGCCCATTTTCTATGACAATTAGAAAGCCAGTCTCATTTTCTCTGGAACCAAGCAGAGGTTTAAAAGAGATGGGCATTAAACATCAAGAAAGAGCAAGAAAATCAGGGAGACGAGAGAGAGAGAGAAAGGTGGCAAGAAATTGACATGGGAAGGTAACATATGAAGCTTGCATTGAAAAAGACAAAACAGAGATTAGTTGTTCAAAATCTACGTGTCAGTCAATGGAGTATGTTAAGGACCGAAATTACAGTTTTGTCCCTTTGAGTGATGTAAATGCCCTTAATTGTAGGAGTGGTCAGAGCAAATTTAAGGATACACGTGGCATAATATAAGTGAGGATAAGTAGAGTATGTTTGTGACTTTTTCTAGAAAAAATAAAAAAATAAATATTTTATTTGTATTATTACTTTTTTTTTTTTTTAGATAGTTATTTCTATTATTACTTGGATTTGAAGTTTTGTTTTGTTAACAATTAATTTGAGTGTAACACGGGGATGGTATGGTGTGGTTAATTCAAAGTTCGAATAAAAAGGTATAAAAAATATTTTTTTAAAAAAATCAAATTTATTGATTAGATTTATTTTTAATTGTGACTATTATTATATTGGATTTAAATTTACATTATATTTTTGAAATAATTTTTATGTATTTATAGCGTTTTTATGATTAATTAAATAAATTAACAATGCTCCATCATTTTTTTATTATTATTTTATAGATTAGATAAAGCCATAAGACAAGTTACAAAGATTCACAAATGATTAATGAGGACAAATTAAGCGAAACTTCTTCCATCCAAACAGGCATTTCATTGGAGTCAATCGCCATCCACGCCAGCCCATGACCAACTGTATTCCTAAGTCTCTGGATATGTTTTTTTTTTTTTTTTTGTAATATTTGACTTATATACATTCTCAATAATATATTTATGGATGGTGAATTTGAAGCATATACTAAACATTGTTAATTTAATACAAAAAGGATTCTAACTATAAAATGATTGTTATATAAATAAGTAAATAAGAAAATGTCTACTTTAATTTTTATTTTAGTATTAATCCAATTATAAATTAAGAAAGCAGTCTCTCTAAACCAATGTTTTGGGCCCCCAACAAGACCTGTCAAGATGATTGAAAAACCGTTCATATATTTTACATCCATTGCATAGATCATTTGTGAAGAATAATAAAGCGATTAGATAATTGTAAATATATTTTTAAGAATATAGATGATATATTTTTAAAATGATCGTTTTCGTTTATTTTTAACCTAAATCTTTTTGTTTTTTTCGTTTTATGTTTGTTTTTATTAAGTTGATGGGTTGTTTGATGAGGTAAGAGTTTTGAAAGAGGAAAACTCTATTTATATGTAAAATTTATATTAAAAAATTGGACAAATTACTCATAAGTCTTTTTTTTTAAAAAGTGTGTTCTATTTAATTCTAAAACTTTTTAGATAGACCTAAAAGTCTTGTGCCGATTTATCTTTTCCTTTTTCTCTACACCTTACTTCTTCTCTTTATCTCTCTTTCTCTGATATCGGCGAAAACTACGCATTCCTTCTTTTATTTTTCTTTCTAATTTATAGTACCCGGTAACCACCATTGATTGGGATTCACCGGCAACCATAGAGTACCGACTCCTTATTTTGCGCTTACCGACGATGAAGGAGATGCGTTTCCGACGAAAAAGATGAGTAGATCTATTCAGATATGATGTAGATCATCTGAGTAGATCTACATCAGATTTAAATAGATCTATGTCAAGCCTAGCTAGATCTAAATAAAAAATACTTGCCAGAATATAAGCATCTCTTTATATTTGTCTCTTTCCTTCGATCTCTCAATTTTATTTTTTTTACTTTTTCTGTACTACACACTTCTATTTTTGTATTATAATGGAGAAAATTTTCAAATTCTGAATAAATTATTTTTGAGTTTTAGTTACAGGCGGTAAAAACTTTAAAATTTTACAGTTTTAATTTTTTTAGTGCTGAAATAAATCATTTTTTAGAACTGTAAAATTTTATAATTTCATAACTTTCTTTAGAACTGTAAAATTTTACAGTTTCATTACATTTTTTAGTTTGATAAATAAAGATAAATGCTTAATAGAATCATACTTTGAAATTGTAACATTTTACAGTTTCAAAACTTGTTTTTCAGTTTGATCAATATTAGAGATTATTTGCTTAAACCCTACAAAAATTGAAAATAACATATATTTTTTTCCTATTATTGTTGTTTGTTGTTTTTACGTTTTTTTCTTCTTTCAGTTTATCAATATTTAGCACATTTTGTTATTTTTTTCACTCTAATTTCTCAATTTATTATTATTTTTTGGCAATATTTTAGACATTCCAGTGAGTCTCCGGCGATATTCTTTACGCTCAACAAACATTCTAAAATTCCAACGACTTTCAGTAATGTTCTAAACACTTTAGCGATACTTTGGCGAATTCCGATGATATTCCGGCGACTTCCCAGTGATGTTGAACATTTGAGCGAGTCTCTGGTGGCTATCCGACAGAAGTCCAGTGGTGATGGAATGTAGCAGCGTCTTTAGTTTTATTTTTTTTTAAAAAGTATATTTTTTGGTAACAATTAAAAATATGTAGGACTAATTAGTGCAAGTATTTTGTTTTGAGACTAGATGAGTTTTGAACTTTGTGTATGAGACTTATCATTAAGTTTTTCAAAAAAATTTAACAAGAATGATGTGACAATACAATTGTTATAAATAAATCCATCTTTAATTATATTTTGTTTTGAAATGAAAGATTTATAATGAGCCACATCATTTTATGTAAAAATTATGTACAGTTTTTTTGTTGGCATAGTATTACTCTTTGAAATATTGTTAAATTATTTTCAACCATTTAATTACAGGCCCACATTCACCCAATTGTCCAACACAATGCTCAAAATATATTGCGGGGGTCGAATATTGGGAGTTGTAGAGAGGCCGAATAGTCGAACTTGGAGAGAGTCAAAATATATAGCACTCAGCGTCGTCTCTCACGCTCGAATCCTATCCTATTCGGCCAAATAGCCGGTTGAGCAAAGGGCCGAGTGAAAAGCGGTTTGCTACAAAAGCAGTCGAATGGCGAACTGAAAGTGGACCCAATCCTGAGGCCCAAGAAAGAAAAGATATAAATAGAAGAACGTCAGCCAAAAGGAGGTATGTGAGAACCATTACGCTTAACTTAAAATACAAGTAATCCACAGTGTAAAGACTGACTTGCCTGTCGGAGTGCTAATTCTGGCACCCCTGACCGGAGTGTTTATTCCTTTTTAGGTGATTAGCTGAGGATCATGAGCGTCCCTCAGGATCAGAAGAATATTTCCAAACCACTTCCTCACAATTTGCGCCGTCTGTGGGAATACTCAAGCACATCCATGGCGGGCGTGACGGAAGATCCTCCGGCACTCACTATCGACCCTACACCACAAAATGAAACCACTCCAAGCAATATGCTTGGGCCAGAGAATATTACCGCAAGAAGGGCCTTGAACTTCGGTTCACCCTCGACATCAGCACAAGAGACAATGCAAGCGATTATGGAGCAAGCAAAGCAAAACAAACAAAGGTTGGAGAACATGATCGCTGAGAATGAACGTCTCCGTCAGGATTTAGCCTTGAAAGTAGCGAAGTCCAAACAAGTTGTACGCCAAGATCCGGAGCGACCTCTGAGGGCAGGTGATCGACGACTTCGAGCCCGACAACAGGACACTGACAGTGATTCTGACTCATTATTCCTGGAGCCCAAAAAGAAGAGTCGACTCGAAGCTACCAGTTCTTCTGAAGAGTGTGTACGTGTAAGGCATAAGCGACGAAGAAACAATTCAGACGAAGAAGATCAGCATGATCCTTTTGTACGACGGATCGCAAGAGCGGTCTTGCCTAAAAAGTTCAAAGTTTCGTCGTTCACTATTTATGATGGAAAATCAGACCCCACTGATCACATTCGTCACTACAAGTAAGCCATGACATTGCATGCAGACAACGAGGCCCTCATGTGCCGAATATTTCCCAACAGTTTGGGACCACTGGTTGTCAGATGGTATTATAAATTGGAGCCAGCTTCGATCAAGGGCTTCCATCAATTACAGAAATCCTTCAAGGCCAGATTCATTACCAACGAGATCCAGCCGAAACAAGCCGACTCTCTTTGGGCAATGCAGATCCAGCCAGGAGAAACACTAAGAGCATATTCGACACGCTACTGTGAGTGTTTTAATCTTGTTGATGATGCTTGCAACGATTCCATAGCCATCACCGCCTTCAAAATGGGTTTGCATCCTGACAGCGCTCTCCGCAACTCCTTGACACGAAGACCCCCCAAAATGATATGGTTGTTGATAAAGAAAGTTAAGGAATACTGCAAAGTAGAGGATGACGCCTTACGGGTTAAAGCCGGAAACGTGGACAACAAGACGGCCCCTTTTGAAATTGCTCAGCCGATAAGTTCCGTACCACCTCAGAGCCCCGAACCGCGACATCGGGCTAAACGGGAAAAGAGACGGGATTCTTGTCGATCGAGTGACCAATGCCCTCACCGAGCAAATGAACAACTACAAGTCGATAGCAGGCGCACAAGCTGCGCCAACAAGAAATACACAGAGTTGTCAGAGCCGATCAACGCGGTTATGTCCAAGATCTAACATCTTCCATTCTTCAAATGGCCGTCCAAAGTGGTGGGACCTCCCGAGACCAGAAGACGGGATAGGCGGTGCAAGTATCACAAAGATCACGACCATGATATTGAGAGTTGTTACGCATTGAAGGATCACTTGGAGGAATTGGTACAAGATGGTCAACTACAACAGTACATCCGAAAAGGCAGCTCAACCAAAGTAATAGCCTTAAGATAGGATTCTCTTTCACTCAGCGTGATTCACATGATATACAGCCTGCTAATGTCATCCGTGGTGCACACGATTCAGTCGCATCCCGACCCTCAAAATCAACTCACTCCAACTAAACGGCCCCATGAAGCTGCGTGCATTGCTTTTGATGATTCAGATTTGGCCGAAGTGACACTCTCCCACATCGATCCCTTGGTAATCGAGTTACGCGTAAACCGATTCATCGTTGAGCATGTACTCATTGAT